TTTGTGGCCACACCATAGAAACTACCTTTCCTCGACCATCTTTCCCCTCCTGTCCTGATTCCTCTCTAGTCTCTGCAGACTTCCAGCTAATTCATTTGGGAAAAAGTAATGCCACCAAAAATGATTGTCATCCCTCAGAATCCCACTTGATTCAAATTCAGTGTCGCCAAATATGATGTCCCACCTCATCATATTAGGATTTTTGGTTTTTTTTCAGCTTCTGGCAGAGCAATGGTTAATGTCGTGACTATTGCAATAGAGTCCCAGATTCATGTCCAGTTGAGACGGACACTATGAAGTCAGCAAGTAGCTCAGGGGGCATTGCTTGTCTGTAGTCCCATCCAGCGTGGAGCCCAGATGGTCGCCTTTCTTCCTTTCCTGTTAATCTCTGCTCCTGATCTGTCCTCATTTTGTTCTTTAGAACAAAACAACAACAATAAAAGTGTCGCATCAAGCCTCTTATTCCATAAATAACTAGAAGAGCAGGATCCTCTTTTTTGACATTTACCTTCTCCTTGGCAATTTTTTCCTGTGACCAGAAAATAGGATGCATGATCCATCTGTCAAAGGCAATTCCTCTGTACTCAACAGTATACCCTCACTCATCCCAAATACTGGGCTGCACTAATAGTTTCAGAATGCCAGTCTGCATGTGGGCACTACTGAGTAATGAAGTCTTCCCAAGTCCAACAGGAGAACAGAACAATAGAGACAACGCAGATTTTGTCATGACCTAAATGTGTTTAATTTTTTAAAAAAGCTATCCTCTATCCTCATGTTGTTTATTCTTCCTTTTAGGGTATCAAAATTTCTTATAGAAAATGTTGATAGAAGTTTGTTGCTTTTTAGCATTTGGTCAAAAATTATTTGAATTTTTACTACTATATGAAATCTAGGAATTTAGGAACCAGTAGCCCATAGGGCTAGCTTGAGAGAAAATTGCAGGGCCAAGTTTGACTATGTCACTCCCTGTCCAGAAACCTTACACTTTCAGGCTACTCTGGATTTCCCTCTAGTTTGGGAAGAACTGCCCCTACCTCTTTGCAACTCCCATTGAGAATCCAATTGAATTTTTCAAGGAGTATTTATTGACCAGTTATTATGTTCCAGGTGTTATAAAAAGGAATAACATAATTCTGTGTTCTGAAGACACCCATAACAATGAGGAAGACAGATCTCTATAAAAAATAAACCATAAGTCAATCTAAGAACTATACGAGAGAAATAGTTATAAGGCTGGAGAGAAGGGGGTCCCTCTACTAGGAGCTAGAAGCTTCACTTAGGAGGACCCTGGTCTCTGAATAAGAATCCCAGGAGAGAAAGGAAATCATGTTTCCAACAAAAAGTTAACGGAGGCTTTTTAGAGATGTTTGTATCACTGGAATAAGCTTGCAGGAATAAATAGATACACATGTGTCGTGGTCCAGCCGCAACAATCGAACAGGGTTACCAAAGGACATGAGGAGACTGGAATAAAGGACACAAGAGAGATGGGGAAGGCTGATGCTCCTTCACATCACCAACCAGCAGCCCAGCTACTTGCCTCGGCCACTGCAGTTGGGCTTGAACTCACAACTCTGAGAGTAAGCATCTTCTGCTCTACTAACTGAGCTAGCTGGGCAGATAACATCCAAGGATGGCACCAGTTGCTCTCAAGCTTGTGCTTTCCCACGCTGCATGGGGGAAGGGACACAGCCCTGGGTCCCAACACACATGTATATTTACACATACATATCTCTATAAATAGTGACTGTTTGGTAGAGAATGATATCATGATATCCAGGCTAAGTAAGAAAAATCTACTTGGACAAAGATGGGTGGCTTTTATTTTGCGTGCATATAATTGAGAGTGTTTAGGGAAATGCTGATCAGCTGCAATTCACTGTAGTTGGCAAAGATGGTAGCATTGAAGTGATCATAGACTTAGGATAAATGGAGAGAGTCACCACCCCCAACCACGTGTTACTCTCACAGGAAAAAGTGTATCACAAGAGCTTACACAGAACTTGGCCAAGTTTTAAGACATAGTTGTTAATGTTTAGGCAATTATAAAAATATATATATATCAATCTAGCATGCCTTTAATTTCTGGATATAAATCATGCCTATACAGCATTAGAAATATAAAGGCACTTTGCTGTCTATGTAGGTTCATTTGTTTCTGCTTAGCTTTTAGCCCCAGAAAATCTTGAAGGGCAATGCAGTTCACAATCTCTAGCCCACGTGTACTGGGTCTAATAAACCAGTTAGTTCCTCCTCGCAGTCCTTTTAATTGGATCCATGAAGGTCAGTGTGTTGTGGAAAATCGGAGCCTATTAGGCCTCAAGAAAATATTTTTATCCTACCAGTGGCCAATGAACTTATGAAAAAAAGGTTACTTAACCTCACCAGTTATCAAACAATGCAAATAGAGCAGAAAGAGCATAAAATGGTTTACCTATCAGATTATAAAAGGAGAATGAAAATGTTAGTGTCTGCTGTGTGATGGTTCATCCATAAAAGAGGACACAATACAGACTTTGAAACTGCAGATGCTAGTCTATTTTGGGTGATGTAAAAAGATGCTCGTGATAAATGTAGGTAAGAAAAATAGGTAACAGAACAAATATGACTGTGGTTCCATTTGAATAAAATGTATATGCTATGCACCCAGTAGCCATATTTACAAAGAGAAAAGTTTGAAGAGATATAAAATCAAAATATTAACCATAATTATATTATTATAGGGGGATTATTGGTGATTTAATTTGTTTATTTAAATAATTTCATTTTACACACTTACATGATACGTGGTCATGGGAGAGAAGGGCAGCCAGATGGGGGCTTACTGGAGCAGAAACAGCACAGTAATGAAAGAAGAGGCAGTTGGGGCTTGGGCATGCCCCTAGAAAGTCACATTCTCCCTTTAGGTCCTCAGTTTCTTCATACTGAGTATGAAAGGGATCTCCTAGATACTCTCTAACTCTATTCTAGACCATTTCAGGCCCAAGAGATTTAGAATGGGTACTGTGATATTTGAATACCACGAGAGACTCAACCCTTGTATTGAAACTGCCAGCCAGAAAGCCGGAAGATTCATCACAAAGCTAGCATTAGGATTCATCTTCTCTCTCAATGACCTAAAGAGAAGATTGGTGGGAGGGTTAGGGGAGAGCCACAGGGGCCATGGCATGTTTTAAATGATAAATTCGCATGAGGACTAAATAACTCATAGTCTCTTGAGTTGCTCTCTGTCTGGGCTGGTAAATTTATCTAGGGGGAGCAGAGTGCTGACAGAGCTAAAGATCTAGATGAAAATCCTGGTGAGCATGTTCAAGTCCATGACCAGGGATCTTTAAAATACATACATGTGGTCACAGGAAGAGAAAATGGGCTGATTACATGCAACTTAGGACCATTACTGGAAAATTAAATAACAGTCAGTGGCTTCATCACCTTGAAGGACTACCCCTAACTGTACCAAATAGCTGTACAAGGCTTCATAAGGCATCAGCCTCTCCACCACTGACTTGGAGTCACTGAAATTCAGTGAAAAAGGATTTCCAGCACAGCAAGGTCCAGTCATGAAGCAGAGAACTGTTTAACTTAGAGGCAGCATTTGCTCACTTAAGGACACCTAAGGAAAGTCGGAGACATTCAGCCTCACTCACTTGTGAACTCCTTACAATGTAGCTTCTCTTTCCCTCTGACCATCTTCCCCTCTCCCTTTAGAAATTGAATCCAATCTATCTCAGGTGTAGACAGCAACCAACGTACCTTTCTGCTATGGTTTTATCCAGTCTCTTCATTGTCCCATGAATCCGGCATGTTTACTGCTCATTTCTCCGTGAGGAATATGTACCTCTTTTGTCGCCTGGCCCCCGTCCATCTACGTCTTTGTCACCCATTCATCAGAGCTGAGATAAAGCCCCACTTCTGGGAGGAAGCCCTACAGACCCCTTGGTTTTCATCAGCTCTCCTTTGTTCTGACATGTTTTCTACATACTATGTAAATCTATCTTCAATCATATTCTGCCTCAGCAATTCCGATACATTTCATATGCGTTAGTTTTATGTCTACAGAATGGGAGCTTTTTAAGCTAAAGATCAGGTCCTATACTCCTCTGTATTCCCTGACGCATTTAATAGATATTCCATAAATTTCTGTTAATGGGTTATTAAATGGATGATAAATAAATATATATCCATGAGCTAGTAAGGAACCATGTTTGGGTAAGGCACCAAGCCTAAAAGAAAATCAGTAACCTTCAACCCTCCAAAGAGCTGGAGACACATGAAGAGTACAATAAGAAAGGGGTGGGATTCCATGCTGGAAAATGTGGCAGACTGATACAGACTTGAGGGAAGGACTATTAGACTTTTGGTATGCCAACAATTTCTCAAACTGATGTGTCTCTTCTATTCCATATGGAAATGCAGAAGTTGGACATGACCCAGTTGACAAGCTAACTTGAATATTCTAGTATGGTGATCTATTTCTGGCCACACCTGGCTATTTACAGAGACCCTTTCCTGGGCTGCTCAAAATAACTCCAAGAGTACTGACCCTCCTTCAACCTTCTGGCAAACTTCTGCTGATGGATGGTCATGAGGGTCTCTGGCCATACAACCCAGCAGTCCTCTCCCCACTCCTCATTAGCCCCTTTCACAGCTGACTAGGACCAAGATCTTCTTTCTAGCTAATATTACCTGAAGTGAAGATATTTTTAACCTTGTTTGGTTTTCTAAGATAAGAAGCAGAGGGTGATGCAGATACAGCTATTCTTTATAGGAGTGTTGTGGGTGCAAATTTGAAACCCACCTGGCACAAAAGAGCTTTTAGGTGAACTCTGGCTATCCCTGCCCACCCAGAAATTCTGTGATGATACTGACAACAAACCCCCTTTTTCAAAATGGCTCTAATTAAAAATTAGCAGATAGCCCAGCACTTACCACACTGTGTGTGTGTGTGTGTGTGTGTGTGGTATGTGTGTGTGTGTGTGTGTGTGTGGTATGCATGCAAAGACAGACAGAGCGAGAAGGTGATATTAACCTGTTTGGTCTTACATAATAAAACTGTTTGTAATAGTTTATTATTTGAAAAAGATCATGGAAGGCATGTTATAAGCAGAAACTCTGCAAAGATAAAGAAAATATCCAAAGGACATACTCCAAAATTTTAAATGATAATCTGTTAGGTGTAATTATGGATACTTTAGATGTATGATCCCTTTCTGTGTTGATTTTTTTACTATTAATCAGAAAATTACAGCTAATTAGAAAAAAGAAGAAAAAATCTTGTCAATTGGCTCTTTCCTGCCACAGCTCTTCTTGGATTTGTGACATCCGTTTTCTGATGTGGGGACATCTGGTGTGCTTGCACACAACAGCTTGTTCTTGAATATCAGCTGCAGCATTTCCAGGTTTCTGAGCCTGTTACCACCTTTCTTCTACCCTCCTGAAGCTTTAGTACCTGAAAAAAAAAGAAACTTAAGGCCCCATCTTTGGCCAGGATGGTGTTGAATTAAGTAGTGCACCTTCTTATCTATTACTCTCAGACATACAAGCATCTAGCCAGGATCCTGCATCTTTCAGCAAAGGAATTGAAACATTGTTTTCACAATTTTCTACTTGTCTAATCCTGGAAGCTAAACCATATTTGCTTCTAAAATAAAGGGAAGTAAGGCAAAGGTCATGGTAGTCATTGTCTTTCCTGCTCCATGAAAAGAGTAAGTTGACACTGGGTGACATATAACAGCAGGGCATTAGAAATGGTATAGGAGCATCCAATTGTAATTAACCTTTGGAGCTCCCTGCCCAGGGATGGTACTGAGGCCAGTATCTCAGCTGGCTTCAAAAAATGGTGTTGGAAGGTGATATACATTCAAACCAGAGCCCACAGTTACACCAGGTGTGCTTAAAATTATTAGCCCTATCCATCTCCCCAGATGTGGCAGAGGATTTTTGGCTGGTATTAAGAAAGTGCTCTAATGCTGATATATGCAACCTGGCTACAAGCTTATTTGTTGAACAAACCAGCCAGAGTCATTTGTATTATTTAGCACTTTGCCATTCAGAAATTGCTCCCTTGTGCTTTCATGTACTCTCTACAGAATTCTGTGAGACAGGTTATTAATCTTCCCATTGCACAGATATGGAAGACAAGACTCGGAGTTTAAGTGACTTGCCCAATATCACACAGCTGGTGAATGGTAAAGCCCTAACTCCAACCAAGATGTGTGGACTGTCACTCTCTGGCCTCATTCTATATATTGGATCAGTGACTGCTCACTGGAATCACTCAGAGCTTTTAATAAATAATGGTATCAGGGCATCAATCTTTCACACACACACCCAAAAGATTCCAGTTTAACTGGGCCTGGGAGTTGTTATTTTTTCTAAGAGTTCCTTAGTAGACTTAAATATATATATCCAAGGCTGGAAGTCAACCTGTTACATGAAATGATGACCCACTGTGATATAAAATGCACAGAATAGGCTGAACCATGATACTAGGAATCTTTTCCATCAGCAATTAAGGAAGAATGATGTTTTCAGGCTGGTGCTATGTGTCAGCGAATAAGTGATTGCCTACATGGTATAATTTGACAACCAATGCAGGATACTTCCAATCTAAAATAAGCTCTCCCTTGTCCCTTCACTGTGCCTTAAATAGTGAAGAGATGAAGGGCTGGCATAGGATCAAAGCCTAGGAGGCCCCTGTTGGACCAGGCATTGGTCATTTAATGGCTGGCTCATGGCTAAGTCCCAGAGGGCCCACTGAAGGGACTAGATGGCCTAGGCAGCAGGGGAGCCCTTAGGATCTTGGAGCAGCAGGTTTTATTGCCAATAAGTATAAAGGTTTTCTTATAATTTACCAATCATTACAGCCATATTGGTGTATATTTGTAGAATACCATCTTTGAATATGCTCCCATCCCAATGCTGTCTTGCTAAATGTTTAATAACCAGGCAAGGAGTAAGAGTAGAAGCCCAGAGTTACAGTGTTTGCCAATTCCTATGGTGTAAGTACTCTTACCATAGCCGATTTTAATCTACCAATGTGATGTCACAAATCATGGAGTTAGGAAGAGATTCACAGTAGCACCCCCCACATATAGTATTTATATGATACAGATACAATAAATGTATAACCTCAAGAGTGCAGATAATAGCAAAATGTAGTAAAACAATTATAAAGTGATGAGTTTTTAACATAAATCTTTTTAACTATAATTTGCTTTACATGTTCACATAATTGAATTTTTACTAAAAGCTGACTTAAACAACCAGCTAATGAAATTCATGAACTTTAATAATTGACCCCCAGGAACTGGTATAATCTGACTCTGGCACTCAACTGACCTACCCCCATCTATTCATTAGTGTCACTATTTGAGAGAAAAGCTTAGAAGGTCCCTAATGAATACATAAATATTGCCTGAGAAGGGCAACACAATCACCCAATAGAATCCATAAACAATTCATGGAAGGGTAACTATGAGTCATTTTGTAATGCCCTGGGAGAAAAGGCAAATAGAGACAAAGCCTCAGTATCCTTACAGACCACATAGAGATAATAACACCAAAACTCGGTAAGTTATGCAAAGCACAGTGACCAAAACATAGTAATCCCTAACAAATGACAGTCACATTTTTACATTTTTGAAGTGGGCAAGAAAATCAACACTTGATGCACGGTTAATATGTGTTAGACTATTGCCAACACTTGATGTGATAGCAAGAAAAATGCCAAATGGAATACAAGAGTTACAAGATTAAGAACTGGTTTTCAGCCCACCCATTGGCTGTAAGTTAGACAAACAGAACAGTAAGTATGTGTTGCACCCAGTGACAAGAGAAAAAGACATGGAATGGACAATAGACCGGTGGAACACAGGGTAAGCCACAAGTGCCTGGGGGAGGGAATAAGGACAGATACACAGACAGGAAACAGTTATACCTTTAGTTTCATCTAGAAAACTAAGGAGGAGTCCTTTGAGCAAAACAGGTGGGTCTTTCAGTTGTAAAAAAAAAAAAAAATGGTTGCACAAATCTCAGGAAGGCCAAAAAGGTATAAAAGGTATATTTGATGGAGTCTAGGCTATGTGGTGGAGAGGTATTGCAAGTAAGGTCTGAGAGAACCTTGCCAAGGAGTTGGGACATTATCCTGCTGGCTGTATAGGCTTTAACAAGGGGAGTGAAATTTGGAAATACATGTTTTAGAAGACAATCCTGGCAACCCTGAAAGCAGTATAGCAAATGCATGTATGAAATACATTCGGAAAGTGTGGTGGAGGAAGACCCAGCTGGGAGATAATTTTAATTGTCCAGGTAATATACATGAGGAAAACCGGAATTACACTCCTATTATTGCTCAGAGAAGCAGAGCAAGAGTGGAAAGGAAGAATATTTAGAGGGTAAAATCAGAAAGACTTGGTGACTGCTGGGTGTGAGTGGGCAGAGAGGAATGGAAGATGAGCCAGAAGCTTCTAAGTTGGGTGATGTGGTAGATTTTGATGATATCAACTGAAACAAGGGAAACAATAGAAGTAACAAGTTCTCAGAAACACAGTATGGAAAAGACCAGTGTGAAACCTCTAAATGCAGTGAGTGCAAACACCTGCATTATTTCTGTTTCATCTCCCGCCTTATTTTGTGATCTCATCATTTATTTACTCTAGGTCAAGAGGGGCAAATAAAATCCTGCACAGGGAAGTGCCTGGAAAAAATTAATGAGAATATATGCAAATAAGGATCCTCGTTAGCGTTCATTCAACAAAAATGTATCGTATCATGACCCCAGCACTCCAGGCACCTGAGCCAAAGTGCCCCGAGTCCAGCCTTCTCTCCTCCTGAATAGCCGGGATAGGGGAAATAGAGTGCCTGACGTGCAGGGCAGCGTTCTTCCCTCTTCATCCAGGGGAGTATTAGAAAAATACTTATGGGGTCTGGAACTGGGGATAAGAAGTCAGAATCTGCTTTCAGTGGCAGAAGCAGACTGGCCAGGGTGACCATGGAGAGGCAGGCTGGGTGACAGAGTAAGATCTTTAAAAATAAGGTGACCCCTATACTGGATCGGGATGTAAGATGGACTTGTCAGGAGCACAGGGCAAGCCTGGGCCACGGACCGAGGGAAACGGCCAAGAACAAGGCAGGAAAATGAAGAGGCAATCGGAATTCAGGTGGCATAGACTTAGAGGAGAAATCCCTGAACCGAAGTCAGGCTAAGGCTGCTAGTAAACTCACAGAAGCAGTGGGCAGAGAGCCACTCTGCGGAGATCAGAGGCAGCATTCAAGATTATTCCCTTAAAAGTAGTTCTCACGGCTCCGGCACTCTTTTTAGCAGAGTGCCATGGGAATCCCCGAGAAGCTCAACTCGGCTCTAGCAAGCAACAGTCATCACAGGGGGCCTCTTTCCAGCAGAGCAGAGGCTTCCCCTCTGGTTCAGGAGTAGGGCTGACTGCAAAGAGTCACCTGTAGGGTGAGTGGACGCTGGGTTGCTCAAGTCATATTTACTGAATTCATTTCCCAACGCTGGGCCAGGAATCCTGGTACTGAGGTTTTGATCAAGACCCTGATGCCAATTAAAGTACTGACACCAAGCGGGGGTTACAGCTCTAGCAGATTATTTCTACTGCAGGGGCTCACTGCAGGCAGCAACCTGAGAAAATTTAAAGCAAAGGTTTTTTTCCAATTTCTGGAGCAATGAGAATAACTATTATTCGTAGTCTGCCCCTCCATCAACTATATCATGTTTTCAATGATGAAGAAAATACAATCAATACAAATCAATCTCAAGAATGAATGAACTAAATGCAGGCTTTTGCAGGGACCAGTTGTCCCACCCTGACCCTGAACAAGGCATTTTGCCCTCCCTGGGTCTGAGGCACAGTCGTTTAGAAAATGAAGACATTTTCCAATTCAGTCACAGCATCCCTGAGTGTCCTTGTAGTTGGTATAAGGAATATAAATAAAGCCAGCAAGATTTGAGGTAATTATAGGAAATGAAAGCAATTATATGTTGCTATCATTCTACTGCTATATGCCAAACATATGGCCCTATGTTGGAAGAGATGTTAAATCTCACAAACAAATTAAAAGCAAAGAGCCAGTGCTTTTGTGTGGGTGGGGGACAGGGGTAAAGAATTATATCTAAGAAGAAAAGTCCTCCTCCAGCCCTAGTCCACATGCAGTTCCTTGAAAGCTCCCACAGCAACATATGCTGGTTTCAGCAATGAAATCTCTGGGCAGAATGCCGCAAGGGACAGCACAATTTCTCACTTACCCAATGTCTTCAGTCAGGGAAGGAAGAGAACACAAGGACCAGAAGAAAGGCGATTTTTTTATTTCTTTGTCAGCTAGGATGCATTTGCTTTCAAGCTCTTGGTCAGTTGGGCACCAACAAGTCCCAAAATGTAGCCAGGGACCCCAGGCACTCGGGCTCCCCTGGAGTTCCAGCCCAGTGGACGAGCCTCACCTTGTGGCCTGGAATGCTGCAGACACAGGGATATGTCACTTTGAACAAGGAAAAGAAAACAAAAAGGAATTTAAAACACTCATACATTCTGTGTGCTCAGGAAGCAATACAGCTGTATAAAAGAAGAAAACAAGTTAGCAAAAGTCACTCGTAAGAGAAAAGTGAAAAGCCTGTGTCCTTTCTCTGTAGAAGTACTCAGTACTACACTAAAAATAGTAAGTTCCTCACTAAAGTACCCTCCAATATGGTAGGCCCTAAGCCCTCATAGCTATTTAAATTGAAGTTAATTAAAATAAAAACTTCAGTCTCTAGCCATTACCACACGAGAGAACACAGAGAGAAAACACCCCCATTATTGCAGAAAATTCCACCAGCTAGAGCTGCTCTCAAAAGCTAACTGGATCAAAGGACAGTAATCTACTTAGCAAGGAGTCTGCCTCCCATGTCACTTTTTTACTATTCATGGGCTAATTAATCCTCTCCCTCTTCTGTTTTCTGTAGCTTTGGTACTTTCCCTCACAGCTTACACTTAGCTGTGAGGTCATCAAAGTCACAGCATTAAGGCCCCAGAGTAGCACGTCCCCGGCGTTGGGGATGTGTCTGGACTCCTCCTTGTCCCTCAGACAACCCACTCTTGCACCCAGGCAGTTCTAAGCTCAGCTCTTTGGTGACTCTGCACACCTTGTCCTCACTTCAAGATATCTGCTGTCTCCGTCTTCAGCTCCCACTGTTTAATTACCTTGTCAGCTTCTCTCTGAATGAGTGACTCAGCAGAGTGACTTTTTAAGTGAGCTTTCATATTTAGCAATTCAGCCCACATGCAAACTGTGATGGGGTTGATTTTCTAAGTAAACATACGAAGACTTTTATATCAAATTAGTGTTTTTATTCAAAATAATCACCCTAGCAGGTAACATACTTCTTCCAATTACGCAGTCATTGCTCACATCACAGTTAGACCATTTCCCAGGGACTTGGCTAGGGCATGCCTAAGTGTATAATGGAATTTTCTCTGAGAAGGGATGTGGTTAACTTCCTGCCCTCATCTCTTTAGGGTATCTCCTTAAAAACTAAGAGGTCACAGAACTTTTGATTTAACAAAGCAAAGTCACCGGTCTTCTAACTCTTTGGAATTATAACCACATAGCTCCAAAATTTACAATCTCTCATGAGGTGCAGAGAAAACAATCACAAGGTGCATTATTTGCCTCTTACAGAGATGGGCTGTACCAATTAGTCTTTCTTCTGTTTACTGTATAAATGTGTGAGCATTTCTGTCCAGACTTCATAGCCACTTCTGTGCTACCTTACATATATGTCAACCTGATCATGCTTACCTCCTAAGTTTCTCTCTTATATTGTTACTGAGGGGTCTTCTGTCAGAGGATTGTGTTTCCTATGGCCCAACGGTCATATCCCCAAAATGCATATGTTGAAGTCTAATCCACAGCATGGTGGTATGAGAAGATGGGGCCTTTTGGAGGTGATTAGATCATGAGGGTGGAGCCCTTATGAATGGGATTAGTGCCCTTATAAGACGAGGAAGAGGTGACCTCTCTCTCCACCACATGAGGAAACAATGAGAAGACAGCCATATGCAAATAAGGAAGAGGGTCCTCAACAAACACCAGATTTGCCAGGGTCTTGACCTTGCACTTTGCCTCCAGAACTGTGAGCACTACACTTCTGCTGTGTAAGCCACTTGGTCTATGGACTTTTGTTACAGAAGCTTGAGCTGACTGAGAGTATTATTTCTCTAATACATGTGACACACGCATTTAAGTATTTTAAATGCATATGTTCATAGGAAAATTTGATTCATGAAACCCCTACAAAAGTCACCTGGAATTTGAATAATAAAATGAATGATCATGTGGAATTATAGTTTTGAACCAAAAATGAGGTAGGCTTTTTGTTAGTTTGTTTTTTAAAATGTGGCAGTTAATTTTTGAGAGTACATCTTTGAAGGGGATGGAAACTTAGGTTCATTTGTTAAAAAAATGAATGAATAGCCCCAATACTGAATACTTACAGCATGTGTATAATACATATATGTATTGGAGAAACATGGATTTTTTTCCCTCAAGTACTAAATTATCTTTTCTCTTATTTTCATATACATCCTTAAACAAGCTACTTCATTAAAGATACCAGATAATATGCAGATACAAGAGCTTCTGTCAAAGAGCACTTTTTTAACTTTAACTCTGTTAAAACCACTGTTAAGAAGTCAAAAGAATAGAAAAGGCTGGTTTTGTATCATTTCCCCCATATCCTGAAGACCCATCCTTGCCTGTGTACAGAACAAAATCAGCTACAGTTTTTGACCAACAGACTCACAATCTAAATTTGCTAATAACTTGGATGCAAACACAAAAGAGAAAGAAGCCCTTGAGAGAAAGATGTCAAGACTCAACATGGCCAGCACCCGCTCTCTCGGGCTGCAGGCAGGAAGGATGGCTTCAGTGCGGGTTGCACAGCCCTCCGAGGTGGAAGAGCACTATTTAGGAGCAGAGCATTCTTGGATATTACTGGAAAGGGAAGCCCTCTCAGAGTAAGACTTTGCTGTCCATCCAATATGGTCTCCATGAAGTTCCCGAGCACGTGTGTCCATCATGGCGATCTTCAGGTAGGAAACGTGGTCAGGCGGAGACAACACCCAGTGCCTCGCCAGGAATTTGGACACACAGGTTCTCCAGACGGCTTCTCCTCCAATAGACAGGATGAGCTGAGCAAGGTCCAGCCACTCCCTGTACCACAATATCTGTCTCTTCAAAAAGAGGGTGAATGATGACCCATCAAGATCCTTCTACCTCAACACTCCCACGACTCTGTAAGAGTCAAGTATGGTTCCTTTAGGACAGTGTTTCCCTAATTTGAAAGATCCTAAGGATCATTTGGGCACTGGTTTAAAAATATATATATACAGATTATTAATTTTCACCCCAAAATCTCCAGAGAACAAGCCAAGGAAATTGCATTTTATCTAGAGATCTAGGTGACATTGCAGTAGAACAGTGATGAGTAACAAGCTATGCCGAGTCCCCACTGTCCTACCCAGCTTTGATCTAATATCAGAATGACAAGTAGAAAGATGTATTCCTATTTCCCAAATACGCCCAGGCATGAGCATTTCAGCACCTAAAGAACAAGGCCAATTTGCTCATTGTTTTATTCTTCTATTGAATAAAATAACGAATCTCTAAATTTGTCTTCATTAAATCTATTTTCATTTTCAATGAGAAAAATTATGGCTTGCAAGCATGTTAAATTTGTTTGGCTCTGATGCAAAAATACAAAGGTTTCTTTCCCCAGAAGAAAGGGATGAGGAGGAAGGTACAAAGGAAAGGAAAGGGAACTCAGATATTGCTGCAAATCACCTTTGTTACCTGTAATCCAGGGGCACCATAGTAGCCAATCAAATGGATGACAATCAAGTAGATTGCAGGTGTGCCCCCTTCCCGGCACTACATGATGACACAGTGGCTGTTTTTCCAGTTGTAAGGCCTGCCAGGACTTTGACAACACAGGCTTATAGGGAAAGCAGGGAAAGGCAGGACAGGAAATACCAGCCCAGCTCCAGAGGATTGTTATGGGATTGGTCCATATCAGGCTGTACAGAGGGGTCTCGCCAACTGGGGCTCAAACTCAGCCAATAGCCGCATCCAAAGAGGACCTGAACAAAGGCTGTAGGTTAACAGGATTCCCTAAGCAGTAACAAGGGTAGGCATTAAGATCATATAGCAGACTTCAAGGGCTCTTTCTAACATGTAATATGCTTATACAAGACCACACATAAATTTTTCCATTCCGCATGTCTAAATTGATACATCCACTATACCCTTTAGAGTGTTAAATAGGCTTTTGAAAACAGAAAAATGAATCTGGCTATCACAAAGAGAGATACTGTAGAAGCGTCTCAATAAAATATTTCTTCTAAAGAAATGAAATATCCTGATATGGGGAGTAAAACAAATAATCTTACTTGTTTTAGAACCCCATGCATGCACGTAATCTCAGATTCTAGTTGGTGCCTGAAATACAACCAATATCTGACCTTATTACTCCCTCTTTGCTTTCTAATGACTTGAGGAATATTTAGATCATATGATCAGACTGACCAATAAATAGATGGCCAAGAGCCAGTTTGAGAGGCAGCAAAAACCATTAAACTAGTCTACATGAGGAAACTGGCTGGAGTTGCAGGCCGTCATCTCAGCAGAAGAATGTGGGTTCTGATTGCCCTTTGGGGTCATGTTCTGGAAGGTGGACGCTGGACCCGCAGTTACTATAGAGTCGTGACAGAAGAAGGGAGGCCCAGGGAGGTGCTGGCAGCTGACTCAGCCTCGGTTGGGGCAGCACTTCAGCTGATGGCATAGAGTATTCCTAGAGAAACATTTCATCCTTTTGTTTGAGTGTACTAAATCTCCTCTTGTTCAAGTGGTAAATGGTTTGCTTTTGGCAAAGCTTTAAAGAGGAAAACTCAACACCTGGGACCCATGGAGAAGGAAGAAGTTGGTCAAACACTAATGTTATAGATCCTGCCTTCCAAGGGTGGCAGACATTTGCGTAGATGAGGGAGGGCCGGTGGATAAAGACCCCTCTGCAGGCCCCGGAGTGGAGAGAGAAGAGCAAAATCCAAGCCACGTACTGAAGTCGTGAGGCGCAAGAACTAGCCCTGGGAGAGAGGGCTGGGAGTAGCTAAACAGCATGCTCGGTAGCCATCTAGCTTCAGTTGAGGGCAAGACTCTAGTTCAAGAGACACACAAAAAAGGATTCCAGTCATATAAACATGACAGAGGTTGGATAAGGACTGAATGGAATGGGAGGAACATGCTGGTGCGCAGAGCACACCCAGCCGTAAGGCAGAAATGACCGGCAGGTGGCGCCATATGCGCTGCGTTTTTTCAGCGCCAGCCTTGGTGAGAGTTGGCTACTGGAACTGAGAATGGAAAAGCATCAGTACAACGGGGAATACTGGGAAAGAGGACCTTTCAGGCATTAAGGCATGATGCTGATACCAGCTGCTGAGAGCAACACTTTGCAGCCAATACTTTGCAGAAATAACTCCAGTTATTTCCAAGGCTGGATCTGACTGAACAGAATTTAAGAAGGAGTATGACCAAGGGAGATAGTCACCATATAAAAAAGGAAGCATTTACTTTTCAAAAGGAAGCCACTGCTCATCACTCAATGTCTGCCCACATCATCATCAATATCTTCACAAATGAACAAAAATGGTTATATTCAGGTCATAAAGTTATTAAAAATCTAACATTCTAAAGTATCAGTGATTAAAGATAAAACAATAGACCAAAAAACACAATTTGGTGTCCCAAAGAATTTCTGTGCAAAGGCAATGTAATTTGAAGTTAATATGCCCATTGGTATATATACAAACAGAGTTGTTATTGTACCCTTATGTATAACCCCAAATGAGAAAGGCTACCAGTTGTACCAGTGGTATTTATAATATACAAGAGAAGGCCCACAAATGGATGTCAAACCACTTCTTAATATGCTCAGAATACAGCTCTATCCCCTTAGTTCCAGCCCTTCTATTTCTCTAGTCTCCTGGAACCACTTTGAATAACATTTCTGGAGCCTTGTATTTTCCTGCTTCAACCTGAATGCAAATTCCTTCCCTCATGTTCACAGGGAGAGAACTGGCTCATTGGAGATCATCTCATGATGCAGACATGGACCATGTGAGGCATCAGTGCCACAACTCAGGACTAGACAGCAAGGTTTGTATCAGATCACAGAGCAAGGAGAAAGTAAAGTGTGAAGCTTTCCAATATCTGCTGAATTATTTGCAAAATACATCTCCAAAAAAAGGTATGTACCCAGAATATGCAAAGACTCTTCACACTCAGGAATAACAAAAAGCCCAAGAAAAACTAGGCAAAAGATTTGAACAGACACTTCACCAAATAAGATGCACAAAGGCAGATAAGTACATGAAAAGATACTCAACATCATTAGTAATTAGAGAAATGCAAATTAAAACCACAATATGTCACCATACTTTTATTAGAATAGCTATATTTTTTTAAATTTAAAAGATAGTATCAAATTCTGGCAGGAATGTGGAGCATTAGAAACTTACACAATGCTGATGGGAATGCAAAATGATACAATCTCTTTGGAAAACTGAGTTTCCTATAAAGTTAAGTGAACTCTTACTGTATGATCCACTGATCTCTTTTAGTTATTTACCCAAGAATAATGAAAACATGTTCACATAAAAATTGTACACAAAAACCTGTAACTGCCAAAAAACTAAAACAAGCAAACATCTAACAATTCATGAATAATCTGTGGCATGGCACATCCATACAGTAGAATACTGCTCAACAATAAAAAAGAAATAAACTATTGATCACATAGCAACATGAATGAATTTCAAATGCATTCTGAGTGAAAGAAGCCAGATTCAAAGGCTACATTCTGTATGATTCCATTTATAAGACCATCTGGAATAAGCAAAATTATAGGAATAAAAAACAGATTCTGGTTCCCAGGGCTTGGGGACGGTGTAAAGGGTTGACTACCAAGGGACAGCATGAGGAAACATCTGAGGTCAGAGCTGCTCTACATCTAGATTGTGATGGTGGTTACATAACTATATGCATCTGTCAAAATTCATATAACTGCCCACCACCAACAGATAATTTACTCTCTGTTACTAAAAAGAATTAAATAAGTCAAGGTTTTAAAGTTCATTCAAATGGTTAAAAGTAAAGATACATAATTGTCAGATAGAAAACATAAATCAGGCCACATTTTATCCCATATTAATAGTGTTCCAATAAAATGATCAAAAGCTAGCTTCCTTCTTTTAAGGCTCTCCCTTAAAAAGTCTTTGTCCAAATTATCAAAACCTTAAATTGGTAAATTGGTCAGTTCTCAGGATATCCCAGGAGAGCCTCAGGGTTCCAGACACAGTGAGGAACCAAGAGGTATCTCCAGTGGGCGCTGGGGATCCCTGCCTCAGTCTGCCTGGAACTGGCCCAGTCTGATTTCCACCAAATCCATAAAATCCCTGCACATGTTGAAGTTTATCAAGAGTTTCTGATCCCTTATTATGAGTAATTTACAAATACAAAAGGTGCCTACCTTTCAGGTAAAGAGAGAGATAGGATTAGTCCCTGGTTCTTAAGACGATTCTCAAAGCAACTGTAAGAAAAAAAAATGTACATAAGGACTGTAAAGATTCAAACATTTGGGGAAAATGAATTTCAAACCAGTACAACAGAAAGAATTATGACATAATTTTTTTAAATCTGTATTTATGTAATAAGACACATAGTTCCAAATAAAACATCCAAGGACATATTTCTTGGGGAAAAGAACCTAAAAGCCAAAATTCCTTCAAATGTATCTTTCAAAATCTCCAAGATAATTTTCCATCCAATTAAAACAACCCCAGGCTTTTCCAATACTCTTCCATCTTCATGTGTGAAATTCCTAACTGCTCTTCAAGATGCAATTCAAAAGAAAGTTATACATTCAATCTGAAAGAATTTGATATTAAATTTCCTGGAATAGTTCTAGGAACTCGGCAAAATCCAACTCCAATAACTCTTAATCTTATCATACAGGAAATCAAAAGAATGTTATGAAATAAAAAAATCGTGCATTTAGTATGCACTAGAATCAGATGGAGGGCATGTGAAAACACAGATCTGGGTGGGTCTTACCCCAGAGCTTCTGATTCTTAGCGTCTGAAGTGGGACCGGAGAATCTGCATTTCTAACAAGCTCTCAGGAGATGCTAATGATGCTAGTCTGAGGAACATACTTTGAAAATCACTCCCCCACATATTATAGAATCAATTAAGACAGTATGTGTAATACTTCTATATGGCATACAATTCTATATTGGTATAAGTGAGTCTTGTTTTCACTTTCCACTTAGACTGAGTCCTTTAAGGCTTCTCTATCTTGTCAGGTAGATTTTTGGCACTTTTTTCTTTGAATACCTATAATGCTTTGTATTTCCTTTCTGATGCTGCCAGTAGTTTGCTTAGCATTAAAGTCATTTTTATTCTGTTTTTATTACACCAACTAGACTTCATTGAGATCATTGAGATTGTTCAGTCCCCTGCAGTGCACAGCAGACTGTCTTACACACAATGGGTATTCTGGACAATAAGCTGTTGAACTGAGGTGAACATCCCTTATTATAAGAATACTGCTTTGCTTTTTGGTGGTTATAATGCAAATACAGAAGGAATGTATTACAAAGCACAACAACATATTATTTTCCTGAATTGGATGTCTAAAATCACACTGAAACTGGCACTCTATTTAGTCTAACTGAATACATTTCGGACATTGAATAAACTGTATACCACATCTACGTAAGTGATAATTGCTAAGTAGAGTGTTAATGAGCATACATTTTTAAAGTTGGATATAAGTTTCTTGATCAATAATGTAAACCTTTCAAGTATGACCTTTATGCCATGAGTAAATCTGTTTTCAATCTCATTGCTTCTTCCAGGAATGGAATCTGCTGCACGTATGAGAACAGTAGCATTGCTTCCATAACAAAAGAGCAAAATTCCTACATAAATACACACAAGGTTGCTGATTGTGGTATGAGGGGCCACACCTGCTCACTGCAAAGAAACTGGACGTAGCCAGCCACTCTTAGAAAAGAACAAACAGCACTGACTTTAAGCCATAAATAGCCTGAGCATGAAGGTATGAAATCATCCACCGTTTTTTGCATTTTAACAGCAAAGCTTCATTTATTCAAAGCAAAAGAATTGAGTCATATTATGGAAATGCAGGCATCAGTGACCCTATGGGTTTACATATTAAGGGATGGAAAACCCTGCCCAACACCCAGAAGTGAAGCCTTTGTTGATAGTTACTTATTTTGCCCCCACATAAGGTCAAATTCAGTCTATAAGAACTGGCAAAATTGAAAAATAAAATTCTAAAGTGAGTTTTTGACCGTTTATAACTCATTTGGTTAACATAGCTCCTTAAATGTTACAAAAATAATCTGAAAGGGAAAGTCAAAATCTATGCCTGACTCCTCTTGAAAGACCTCTGGGCCCCCATCAATTTACAGGCAGGTCAATCGTGCTTATCTACCGCTGTTAAATAACCCAGCCCCTAACAATTCATAGCAACAACCACGTCACTTACTCTGGTTTCGCCATTTGGGCAGGGACAACTTGTCTCTGCTCCACGTTGCGTAAACTGAGGCAGCTCCAGTCCCAGGAAGGCTCGCTCACATGGCTGGCAAGTTGGCGCTCATTGATGCCTGGGAGCTCAGCCAAGGCTGTCGGCCAGTGGCCTCAGCTCTTCCCCACACGGATCTCTCTGCTTGGGCTAACCCGGAAAGTGGCCACGGGGCCCACGAGGAGGGAAGGAGAAACTGCCAGTCACATTAACGCATCACTTCCTCTGCATGCTATTGATGAAGCCATCATAGAACGAATCCAGATTAAATGGTGGAGAAAGAACCCACACCTCTCCACGCAGACAGTGATAACAAAGCCTGTAGCCACCTTCAAACTACTATTGCAGATTTTGGCTAAGACCAGACCTTAAATTAAGGCAGAAGAATCCAAAGCCTTTCTTCAATCTTAAAATAAGACAATGCTTGACATCAGTGCTTCTCAGTGTGTGATTCCCCAGACCAGTAGCATCATCCAAGAACTTGGAAATGCAAATTCTCAGGTCTCACCCTAGACTTACTGAATGAGAAAGTCATCTTTATGTTAAAGCTGAGGATTTTTCACCCTGACTCTGAATTTTACTAAACCAATTGTAGAAGATGAAAATGAATTTAGTTGAAGTAAACAGCTACGTTTACTCAGAAGAGAAAATAATTAAATGAAACTGAAGACCTAGATTTACTTGGAGCAATACACAGTGTTTACATATGATTTAACATTCTAAAAATATTTATGGGGGTTTCTACATAATGGATTTGTATCGCCATGGTGGTTAATCTTCAGTAAATATGTTTTTTAGTATCATGTGGTTTTTACTTATTATGCACTAACTGTCTTATTAAATTTCAATTAAATCCATATGTGAGAATATTATAAAGTGCTACCAGAAGGACTGATTACAAAATCAATTACTGGCTTGAAGCCCTGATGTTATTCTAAGAAAAATGGTGGCCTCCACTTGTTGGTACCAAAAAAAAAGCAATTAAAAAGTTTTACAGTCACCCATCAGTTGTAAACAAGATTGTATCTATGATTGTGTCTGCCTAAAGAAAAGTAAGAAAGGGGCCATGAAGCTCATATACAATTTCAAGAAAAGCTATACTTAATGTAATAAAAATTTTCCATTCAAATTCACAGCAATATGCATTACACAGACTTCTATATCTATACACATATACATATTTACCTACTAGGCAGGGAATTACTATGAGTAGGAGACAGAAAAACTACAAAAACTGACGCAGAGACAAATAATACTGCATAGCCCTAGGCCACGAGTGGAAGACTCAGCAACCCTTGAACTTTAATACCCCTGAGGTCTTTCTAGCATCACAGCCTTGTCAGATTTTAATGGGTGTAAGAGAGTCTTGGTCCATAAATAGACAAAGAAAATGTTCATTTATGTTTCCTGTGCTCCTTTCAAGAGAAACTGAAGTGCTCAATGCATTTCACAAATATTTTTTCCTGTAGTATAACTAAGCCACCACTTACTAACTCATTCTACTGGTCTACAGTTAGATTACCTCCCCCTTTTCCCCTTTATAATTATTTAAAAACCAACTTGGCATCAAATTATGAATAGAGATGTTACCTGCTTTTTCCTCTAAACATTACCTAGTTTTTGTACATATTCCAGAGATTATTTTTTAATTTATTGAGGTATAATTGACATATGACATTATATTAATTTCACATATACACATAATTCAATATTTGTATATATTGTGAAATGATCACCACAATAAGTCTAGTTAATATCTGTCACCATAATAGTTACAAAAAATTTTTGTGTGATGAGAACTTTTAAGATCTACTGTCTTAGCAATTTGCAAATATGTAATATAGTATTATTAACTATGTCACCCTGCTATCCATTACATTGTCAGGACTTATTTTTTCTGTAACCAGAAATTTGTACTTGCTGATTTCTTTCACCCATTTTGTCATCCCCACCCACCTCATCATGGGCAAGCACCAATCTGTTCTCTGTATCTATGAGTTCAATTTATTGATTGATTTATTTTTAGATTCCACATATAAATGAGATGATATAGTATTTGACTTACTTAAAAAATATTTCTAATATAGAAATATTTTATCAGAAAAGGTTGATTTTTTTAAAAAGTTGGTTCTTAATATACAAGTCATTAATCATCCGGACATACTGTCTCTCTTCCCAGTAGTACGGGAGGTATGTTTGTCATAGTTTCGTGTGATCTTTTTAAATAAAACTTCTCTAAGTCTCCTGATAAATTCCCTTAGGGCAGCTAACTGGCCTCCTTCCCTGGGAAGGTGTAATATTTAGTCCACTAAGTGGCAGAACTCAGAACTCACAGCCAGGGCCTCCTTTGCATGAAGTATAGCAAGGAGCCCCCAAAGCCTGTCTTGCTCAAAACACTGGTCCAGGCCAAAGACAGATACTCAGATGAAATGAGACCTAACAGGAGATACCATGCAAGAAGTGCCTCCAGTCACTCAAAGAACACAGAAGCCATGAGCCACTAAATCCCCTACATTCCTCTTCACAATTCCAATTAATTCTTCTGCATTTTTTCCAACTTTTTATCCTGCCAACTCTCTCAAAGGAGGACAAGTTTCTTGGCCCAAGATGATTCTGGGCTCTGCATTCTTTCCCAGACCAGCCCCTCTAAGACCTATTCCAAAGGTCATTCTTTAGCAACTACTCGTCACCAGCAATGAGATGATGCCACAGGGAAGGCCTAAGTTTAAATAATGTCCAGTTCATAAGCAGAGCCCTAAGGGAGGAAGGACAGGCAATGGGCAGGAACACGGGACTTGAGGAATTCTGGGAGCAGCCAGGACAGCTTAAGGAACCTGGAGGTAACAGGAAGATGAAAACACATCTGGACTAGAAACACACTAAAGGCGACTCAGCACAGAGGCTGCTGCACACGGCCTGAAGTCTGCTGGAGCCCAGGCCCAGGTCTGCAGCTCACTGTTACCCCACCTCTCCAACCTCTGCAACTTCTGTGGAAAACTGGGTTGATACTGTCCTCCCCAACATGGTAAAGACTGAGTGCCTAGTGACTAGTATTTATGTATTTATCTGTTATATACAGTACATTTGTATGTATTATATTCATGTGTGTATGCATATATACAGGAGCAAGAACATCGATGAGAGCAAATTCCTGCTCCTTCACGTGCAGCACTTGAAAGGTGTGGCTGCAAATATGTCAGTCAGCCTGGCATCACCCACTCCTTGCCTCTCATTCATTTTGGAGGCTATGGGACGCTGGTACAAGCTTCTGTTCCACACTGGGGAAGGCAAAGGATACACCTTCAGTTCTTTCTTTCTGTGTTTCAATTTCAGGTAGTCTGCTTTAAATGGCATCTGAAAGGTGGAGAATCCTGAATGATAAACTACAATTAGGAATTCTATGACAAGAGAGGGTGTATACTTTCCATTCTGCCTCTCCTGTTTGAGGCTAGCCCCTTCAGGCCTCCTACCTGCTCTCAAAGCCCACTGACATATGTTTTTCGTGTATAATACAGGGCAGAGAACAATAATGTAACATGATTCTTAACCTTCAGCTGCCTAAGTGAGCATCACTACAGTTATTTAGTGCATAAAATCAAGCACATGTCTTTTCAAGGTAGAGAGACTGAGATAAGAAGGCAGGCAGAGAACAACAGCACAGAAGAAATGAAACCAGTGTTGACTTTATTTTTGTAAACCAGGGTCACTATTTCGGCCTTATTCACATTCTTGCCTAAGGGAACTCAGCTGATCCAGGCAGGTCCTGGGGGCTCCTTCCCATAATCCCTCTAAACCTGTGGAAGGATCTGGGGTTTAACCTGAGACCCTAGGTCAGGCTCACATTCCCCTTGGAAAGACGTGCCGGTTCCTGTACTGTGACTCTGCTTAGCTAGTGACAGTCAGCAATCCAGTGGCTCAGGAGGGACAAGGACCTTGTGGTACACAGTCCTACTGATGGGTTTCCTCCTATACATCTTAGGGAATGGAAAGATTTATGGTGAAAGAAAGGAGACATTTTTATTGGCAAGTCTCCTAATGCACAGGGTGACCTGGAAAACTGTGAGGTTAGAGTATCAGAGGAACAAGCAGGAAGCATGGCTGGTGACAGAGGGGTGAGGGAGACTCCCTCTGAGTAGGGTGAGAAGACACCCAGAAGCAGGACTGGACTAGAGAGGCTTTTTCTAAAGGGCATCCCTGACGGCAGACCCTCAGCTCCACCCTGCCTCACAGGGACCTTTCCAGCTCACTGGTTCTCTTATCAGCATGGTCATCAACGGGGAGCCTGTTGGAAAGGCAAAATCTTTGACCCTACCTAGACCTATGAATCAGAAACCCTGGGGAGTGGGCCCCCATCTGTGGTGTCAGCACCCAGGTGATTCTGATGCTCTAATTATCTCTGGGAGGAAGGAGTTGGGAGTTGACTTTGCTGTTTTTTTGATGGATATTTTCTGCAGGGAGCTCCTTCTCACAGCCCAGTACTTGGTCCTTGGAAGTCTCCACTAGACAGTGGACTGCTCATGCCCTCACTGGTCTGGATACCACTTCACCTGCCTCTCCTTCAGCGCAGACTGCGGCCCTCTGATGAGAGGCTCAGCAGTGGGGCCGAGCCCTCCTGACCCACGCCCACCTCACCCCCGCCAGCTAGTGTTCTCCCCTCCCTGTTGTCCTCTGCTTTAGTTCTTATTGATGCAATTCCTGCCTACTCCCCAACCCCATTTCTCTAATTAATCAAGACAGCTTAACAATACTTCAGCCCCAGGCATTGCAGAATATCAGGGGCTTTGCTCTTCTGCCCAGTTTTCCGCTGATCCTCTGGGAGCAGAAGGCTGACACTGGTCTCCCTTTTTGCTGGCTTCATCAGCAAGGTGAATGGAGACTAAGCTCTGTCCAGTTCATAGAGACGAACATAAGCCGTTGGCTGGAAGCATATGTTGGGAACCCCATCTGAGCTGCAACTGAAGTGTTCTTAAAGTATCTGTGATCAGTCTCATCTCCCTACCCAGAGGGTCTTAGAAGGCACACTAGTCCAGCAGGTTGGGAACTTTAGATTTTGTTAGGGATTTGGGAACAAGACCGCCCTGTGTAAATCCCACCTTTCCCACTTAATAGGTGGGCGGGCTC